CGCATTTTGCTGGCCAACAAATTTTAGACAATTGTAAAAATATGTAAAATTTTGTCGATAATTTTACATATTTTGAAACTGTCGAAAATCTAATGGCCACGGAAATGGGCTCGGTAGCTAATACATTAAAAATCCATATTTCTGTTTTAGTTTTTTTGTGAAAAAAATTCTTTTTGCACTAATGTTACAGTTTTTAAAGTAATAAAAAGTACATTATTTTATTTAGAAAAAAAAACTCGTCCGTTATTTATTTGATCTGGTAATGAATATTTTGAAACTACAGAAGTTTATAAGGAGTCCAGGCTTTGTGCTCTTCATTCTGTTTATTCATGCCCTCATCTAACAAATATATGTGAAACCACTTTTATTAATCGCGCCAGCAATGTCTGTTTGCTTAAGGTTTTTTTTTTATATGGTCTGTTTTTCGCTGGCATAGTTCCATATAATTATGTGACTCTGTACTGTTTCGAGAAATCCATGTTACAGCATTTTATGAATAAATTCTTGTTGTTTTTCACTCTCTACAAGGTTAGCAGAATTTCTGTAGTGTTTTAAAAGATTTTTATAACTCCCCACCCCTCTCCCACAAAATGGATTTTTTCTAGGAAAATTTAGAGCTGTCAGAATGGTGTGAATTTTACGATTTTTAGTGAACTACGCCATCTCAGCATTAAAATCTGGTTGGATTAAATCTAAAAAACTCATCTGGCCATATAGTATATATACCTCAACCACCCGTGGAGTAAATTTAGGAATTCCATGTTACTAGAATGCTCGCACAAACTCGATCTTACGGTCTTGGGCTATGTATGTCTATTAGTGACTGTCGCCCACTCGGTGATACGTGTGCGGCCTCGTCATAGGTCAACCAGATGTCGTTCACGTTACGAGGGCACCATTCGCTAATGCGCTACGTCTGCGATTGTTGTCAAAGACAGTACAAGTCCAGTTCGTTGGACTTCAATTATGTCCTGCACATTGCTCATCTGACAAGGAGTCTCTTTCTTTACATGATCGTGAAGTCACACGCCAAGCATCACTCACTCCGTCACATTGTCAAAGTCAGTGCTCGCTCTTCAACTTTCGTCAGTGATCACGTTTCACATTCGTACGTCAGTACCTTCAACAAACTTATGAACTGAACAGGTGTCGTAAACAGAAATTAAGCTGTTGACATCATTTACTGATAAGAACCGCTCACTGTCGAACTGAACAAAATACCATTCGTATAGCAATTTTGAAGAATTTGTTTTTTTCTCGCGCAACACTTGGCATGCTGTTCTTCTGTTTGAATGGGACTGCGCATAGGAAATGGAAATTTATCAAGTGTTCGCATAGTTGAAACACAACAACAACAATAAACAAGGATTAAAATGGGTTGTGGTGACGTGATGCGGACGGGTTAGAGCAGACAAGCTTAGCTTAGTGCGAACTTTTGCCAGTAAGAAAGGAGGAGTAAAATTCAGTGAGACGAAACTGGATGTGTTTTGGGATATGAACAGTTTAAGATTACAAGAAACTGGTTTTTATTTACATAATAAAAGACCTTTCAGTGAAGAAAAAATATTGGTGGTATGCATCTCCTAGTCACTGTGATGTGTTCATCGTGGCCTAGGATTTTAGCTAATCCGCTATAAACTACTTGTTCGAATCACCTCGCGAAATCCCCCATAAAAAACCCTCAGTTTTTGTTTTCAGAAATAACTAGAAAATGGTAGTGATGATTATATTCCCAAAATATAGACAAACGTGACAGATTTGGCTGTTTCGTAACGCAGGAGGAACATCTCCTCAAAATTTCACGACGTAACCTCGCTGCCGTTTGCTATAATCACTGGCTTGTTCTGAGAATAAAACGGCTGCACACTTATTTTTCCGAGAATCCTTACTGCACTTTGCCAGTAACCTGAACACCCATTTTAGAGAAATTCGATACCTCTGTGTCCGTTCATCCCTACTGAAAACAAACTGGCAGTGGTCTGTTGTATTTCAGCATGCCAGAGGATTCAAGCCATTCAGAGTTTGTTTTTTTTCCACTACCATTTTCTGGGGAGGAAACCCCAAAGTACCGTTAGTTGCCGTCAAAAGAAGCACCGTT